TGCATATATTTACAGTAGTAATGAAATATCAGGAAAGGAAAGTAAAGAAACAATCTCTTTTAAAATTGCATTAAAAAATAAAATAATTAGGAATAAACCTGACCAAAGAAGTGAAAGACTTAAACACGGAGAACCACCAAATCTTGATTAAGGAAACTGAAGATGATTTAAAGAAATGGAACAACATGCTATGCTTTTGGATTGGAATAATTAATACTGTTAAAATGGCTAAACTACCCAAAGCAATCTACAGATTTAATGTTATTTATATCAAATTACCCAAGACATTTTCCACAGAACTAGACTAATCTTAAAATTTATGTGGAATTACAAAAGACTCCAAACTGGAAAAGCAATACTGAAGAAAAAGAACAAAGCTGGAGCAATAAACAACCCCTCAGACTTCAGACAATACTACAGAGCTATAGTAATAAAAACAGCCTGCTATTGGCACAAAAACAGACTTATGGATCAAAGGAACAGAATGGAGAGCCCAGAAACAAGCCCACAAATCCACAGTCAATTAATCTCCAACAAATAAGAATATACAATGGAGAAAAGACAGTCTCTTCAACAAGTGGTGCTGGGAAAGCTGGTCAGCAACATGTAAATCAATGAAATTAGAGTACTCCCTCACACCACACCCAAAAATAAACTCAAAATGACTTAAAGACTTAAGCATAAGAGAAGACACCATAAGCCTCCTAGAAGGGAACATAGACAAAACATTCTCTGATACAAGTCGTAGTGATGTTCTCCTAGAACAGTCTACCAAGACAACAGAAATAAAAGCAAAAATAAACAAGTGTGACCTAATTAAACTTTTAAGCTTTTGTACAGCAAAGGAAACCATAAACAAAATGAAAAGACAGCCTATGGAATGGGAGAAAGTACTTGCAAACAAAGCAACCGACAAGGGGTTAATTACTAGAATATACAAACAGCTCATACAACTCAATAACCAAAAAAACCCAAACAACCCAATCCAAAAATGGGCAGAAGAACTAAACAAACATTTCTTCATTGAAGACATACAAATGCCCAAATAGGCACATGAAAAAAATGCTCAATATCATTAATTATCAGAGAAATGCAATCAAAACTATAATGAGGTATCACTCCACATCAGTCGGAACAGCCATCATTAAAAAATTCACAAAAGATAAATGCTAGTGAGGTTGTAGAGTGGAACCTTCCTACAATGTTAGTGGGATCATATTTTGGTACAGCCATTAGAGAAAGCGGTATGGAGATTCTTAAAAATTGGAAAATATGGAAAATTTGATCTAGCAATACCATGTCTAGGCATTTATCTGGAGGAAACTTTAATTCGAAAAGACGCCTGCACCCAATGTTCATAGCAGCACAATCTACAATACCCAAGACATGGAAACAATCTAAACGTCCATGACAGATGACTGGATAAAGAAGTTGTGGTATACATATGCGTAGGAATACTACTCAGCCACAAAAAGGCTAAAAAAGGCTAAAAAAGAATGTCATTTGCAACAACATTTGTGAACTTGGGAATCATTATATTAAGTGAAGTAAGCCAGAAAAAGAAAGAAAAATACCATAGGATATCACTTAACATGTGGAACCTACAAAAAGGACACAAATTACTTTATTTACAAAATAGAGACAGACTCACAGACATAGAAAGTAACATTATAATTACCAGGGGGACAGGAGTTGAGCAGGATAAACTGGGAGTTTGGGTTTCGCAGACATTACCTACTATACATAAAATGGATAAACAACAAGGTCCTACTGTGTAACACAGGAAACTACATTAGATATTTTGCAGTAACCTGTAATGAAAAAGAATATGAAATGGAATACATATCTATATATCTATATCTATCAATAAAAATTAATCACTATTTTGTAAACAAGAAATTAACACAACATTGTACATTGATTATAGTTCAATAAAGTAAAATAAAATAAAATAAAATAAAATAAAATAAAATGTTCTTTATGAAACAGAAAAAAAAAGATAAAGAATACAGTGGCAGATGGATTAAAAAAAACAAGAACCTACAATATGTTGCATACAAGAAATTCACTTCAAGGCAAAAGACACCCACAGACTAAAAGTGAGGGAATGGAAAATGATATTTTATGCAAATGGAAATGACAAGATAGCAAAGATTTTGGCTCATATCAGACAAATGAGACTGTAAAACAAAGGCCATAAGGAAACACACAAACAAAACAAAACAAAACAAAACAAAACATGATGACAAAGCAATCAATGCAAGAAAAGGATTATTACAGTCAGTAATATATATGCACCCAATATAGCTACACTGAAATATGTAAAGCAAATACTAACTAATAAAGGAAGTAATGGACAATCATACAATAATACTACGAGGCTTTAACACCCTGCTGACATCACTGGACAGATGATCCAGACAGAAAAATCAATAAAAGGCAACAGAGGTCCTAAGTGACACAATAGGCCAATTGGGCTCAATTGATTTCTACAGGACACTACATCACAAGACACCAGAGTACACATTCTTTTTGAGCACAAATGGAATGTTCTCTAGGATAAACCACATACTAGGTGGCAAAACATGCTTCAACAAATTTAAGAGCATAGAAGTTATTTCAAATATCTTTTCTGACCACAGCAGCATGAAATTAGAATCAACCACAAAAGAAAAAAGATAGGAGAAGAAACACATGGAGACTAAACAACATGCTACTAAAAAACAAATGCACCAAACGTGAAATCAAAGAAGAAATACGAAAATACCTCTAGAAAAATGAAAATAAAAACACAACTTTATGAAATCTATGGGATGCAGCAAAAGTAGTTCAAAGAGGGAAGTTCATAGTGATACAGGCCTTCCACAAGAAACAAACAAACAAAACCCCAAATAAACATCCTAAACCACCACCTAAATTAATTAGAGAAAGAAGAACAAACAGAAATCAAAGTCAAGAAGAAAGGAAATACCAAGGCATAATACGTAGCATAAACTTTACCAAGGAGGTGAAAGATCTATATGCTGAAAACTATGAAATATTGATAAAGGGATTTGAAGATTATTTAAAGAAATGGAAAGATAGCCTGTGCTCGTGGATGAAAAGAATTGGTACTGTTAAAATGGTCACACTACCAAAGCAATCTACAGATTTAAAGTGACTCCTATCCAAATACCGATAACCTTTTCCACAGAACTAGACCAAATAGTCCTAAATTTTATTTGGAACCACAGAAGACCTGGAATTGCCAAATCAACCCAGAGGAAAAAGAACAAAGCTGGAGGTATAACCCTTCCAGGCCTCAAGCTATGTACTACAGTAATCAAAACTGTGTGGTATTGCAGAAAAACGACATATAGATCAATGGAACAGAACAGAGAGCCCAGAAATAAACCTACACACCTGTGATCAATTAATTTATGACAAAGGAGGCAAGAATATACAATAGAGAAAAGATAGTCATTTCAATAAGCATATTGGGAAGGCTGGACAGCTACATGGAAATTAATGAAATCAGAACACTACCTCACTCCGTGTACAAAAATAATCTCAAAATGGTTTAATGTCTATGTATAAGACATGAAACCATGAAACTCCTAGAAGGGAACATAGGCAAAACATTCTGTGACATAAATCATAGCAATATTTTCTTAAATCAGTCTCTCAAAGCAAAAGAAATAAAAGCAAAAAAAAAAACAAAAAACCAAAAAACCCCCCAAAACAAAATGGGACCTAATCTAACTTAAAAGCTTTTGCACAGCAAAAGAAACCATCAACAAAATGAAATAAGACAACCTATGGAATAGGAGAAAATATTTGCAAATGATGCAACTGACAAGGGGTTAATATCAAAAAAAAATTATACAAACTGTTCATACAACTCAATATCACACACACAAAAAAAACTCAATTGAAAAATGGGCAGAATATCTAAATAGACATTTCTCCAAAGAAGACATCCAGATGGCCAACAGGCACATGAAAACATGCACATAATTGCTAATTATTAGAGAAATGCACATATTGCTAATTATTTGCAAGTCAAAACCACAATAAGGTATCACCTTACACTGGTCAGAATGGCCATCATTAAAAAGTTTACAAATATTAAATGCTGGTTAGGGTGTGGAGAAAAGAGAACCCTCTTACATTGTTGGTGGGAATGGAAATTGGTGCCACCAGTGTGGAAAACAGTATGAAGATTCCTCAAAAAACTAAAAATAGAGCTACATACGATCCAGCAATCCACTCTTGGGTATGTACCCAGAAAAGATGAGAACTCTAACCTGAAGAGATACATGCACCCCAATGTTCACAGCAGCACTATTACAATAGCCAAGACGTGGAGACAGCCCACATGTCCAACAAGTGACTGGCTTAAGCAAAGGTGTTACATGTATACAATGGACTACTAGTCAGACATAAAAAAGAATAAATTATTGTCATTTGCATCAACATGGATGCATCTAGGAATATTCTGCTTAGTGAAGTGAATCAGACAGAGAAAGACAAATACCATATGATAGCACTCATGTTTGGAATCTAAAAAATAATATAACAAATCTATATATAAAACTAAAACAGACTCACAGACTTAGAAATGAAACTTACAGCTACTGAAGAGAGAGAGGAAAGGAGGGACAAATTAGGAGTATGGGATTCAAAGATATAAACTACTACACACAAAATAGATAAACAACAAGGATTTACTGTATAGCACAGAGAATTCTAGTCAATATCTTGTAACCTATATTGAAATATAATCAGAAAAAATAGGTGAATCACATGCTGTACACCTGAAATGAACAGAATATTGTAAATCAATGATACTTCACTTCAAAAATTTAAAAAGATAAAACACGTCTGTAAGACAAAAACACAATCAGTTATAATGTCTCCAGCCTCTTAATATTGTTCACAGTCTTTTTCTTAATAGTGAAATAATTTCATGGGAAGTAATGTCTTTTGTCATTAAGGAATTCATCTGAAGTTCATCAATGCTTATTTCCTCAGCTTCTCATGAATTCAAATAGAAAAGTTATTAATCATATACATAAAACTGCATTATTGCTTGAAGTCAACTTTGTGAAATTATTTCCATTTTATCTTTTACATATATATGTATATCTTCCAATAAATATCTCAGATTAATTTATAAGGTTAATAATTAAGAATATGAAAACAAACCTATGTATGTGTATGTATGACTGGGACATTGTGCTTTATACCAGAGATGGACACATTGTAACTGACTATACTTTGATGAAAAAATTAATACATAAATTAAAAACTTAAAAAATAAATACAAGGTTAATAATCATTGTTGAATAATTTAGATATTAAATGGAGATTTGAGTTATGGAGTAGAGATATGGAGATATATCTGTATATCTCTAACTATCTATCTGTTTATCTATCTACCTATCCATCCAGGAATAGTTGAAATAATGTTCATCAAATATTGACACCACTGATTTTTTGGTAATAACCATGTTATAACTCAAGAATCTTATATAGTGCCTAACACCTGCCAAGAGTTCAATAAATGTTTGTTGGGCTAGTGATGAGAAAGGAAAACTTTGCTTAGAAATAGGGGGTAAAGAAGTGGACACCCTCATAATAATGTTCTGAAATAGTATTATGCTATAAAGGGGGTTGCTGAAAGATGTGGGAATTTGAAAGAAACAATACTGTTAAACCATCAGGAATATGTCTTATAAATACATAAATTTAGGGGTTGAAAAGATAATGAGAGATGCTTCTGTCAATAAAAAGGCATGTTTAATTTTCTAGTTGTAAGTTTTATTTAAGTGCATTCCTAGAGGCAGTGATAACTTACTAATTTTTTTCATCATGTGGAAAAAGTAACATATATTCTGAAATTCATGCCACGAACAGAGAGGGAGTGAAATATACAGCCACAAAAATTCAGAAGGACATTTATCAGCCACCATAGCGGATCAGCTACTGCCAAATCTTCCCCAGCAGAACTGTTAGCTCTAAGGCAGGACATCCCCAATTTGGAAAACCTAGGGATCTGCGTGGATAATGAAAAGCAAGGACTTGATTCTTAATGTAACAGAGCAACTCAATGGAAACCAAACTGATTAGGAGTCAGAGGACAGAACTCCAGTTTGGAAGGATCTCTTCTCTCCGCTTCAGTGTGCTCCTCTGTAAAACGAAGATACTGATATCTGCCCTGAGTACTTCCGAGGGTGAAATTAGATAAAGTAAGTGAACGTGCTTTCTGACTGTAAAGCGTTACACGAGGCAAAGATCACTATTTGAGGCTATCTTTGCAACTCTGCAGCAGGAAGAAAGTCAGAAAAACACAGCAGCTTTACTGTGAATTAACATCTTGTCTCAGAGAGCTTGCGTAAAGACAGTGATAGAAAGTTAATTGCCCCTATTTTAAGCAGAGATCTTTATATTTGTCTTAAGAAACTGGCTTTTACTGATCTCTCACAATCTGGCAGATACATGTCATGTTGTGAGTGGCTTCTGACTGCTCTTTCTCAGAATGCTTCAGTGGCTCCCATCATTCTGTCTCGTACATTGCAGGCTTATTGTTTCAGGCTCTTCCTCTCCTATCCACATCTTTTTTTTTTTTTTTTGATAATCTCATCTATTCCCCTGCCTTACTCTGCTCCAATGAACGCTTCCTAGTATCCATTACACACAGAAACAGATGTTGAATACACACTTCAAACCCAGAGTGATCAGTGTGGGATTCATTGTCTTCCTAACTACACTTAAATCTTCTGTTGAGTTTTCTGTCTCAGTTAATTACATTGCTGTCTATTCAGTCTCTCAATTTTAGAACCAAGGAAATGGTGGTTGGTTTTGCTCTGCACAACTCTAATGCATGGCATTCATACAGTAGTCTCTGTGTGCAGTGTACAACCTGCAAAACTGAACGTGGTGGTCCTCCCAACACCTCTACCACTTGCCCTGTTATCTCAGTGGTCATAATTCCTTGATTTTCTACAATAGAGAGGAGACTGTGGACAATTCTTGATTTATCACAGTTTCTGACTTAAACAATCATGACACTTTATCATGGCTTTACCTTTAGCTGATAAGTTAGGGACAATATCCTGAGTCTGGATGGTTATATGTGACATATGTTATATGTGGAAATGATAAAGCAGGAGGGCTTTTTGTATTAATTTAAACATATACATTTTAATACTGTGTACAGATATGTGTGTGTGTGTATGTGTGTATGTTTAGTAGAGAGCACCAAAAGATAACACTCAATAATTCCTTCTCCCTATATGATAATAATAATAGTAATAACGATGATGATGATGATGTGAGACGCTCAAGCTGCTCCTCACATTAAGAGGTACAGCTTATTTCCTCTTCCCATGATTCTGTGCTGATCTTGTGAGTAGCCCTGGCCAATGGGATACCAATGGGACACCAAAAAAGATGCGACTAAAGACTTCCCAAGTCTTGAACGCAGTGCTTTGAACACTGGGGCTTGTCTTTCTGAAACGCTCCTTCTTAGCACCTAGCTGTCAAGTTTGAGAAATACCCAAAGAGGCACATTGGGTAACAGACCCAGCTGAGATCCCAGCTGACAGGTAGTATCAACTTAGCAGTCATGTCAGTTAGCCATCTTGGGCATTCTAGCCCAGTCACATCCGCAGATGACTGTAGCCCCAACCACTGTCACAGGATTGCCCAGGGACAGAAGGCTTGCCAAGCTGAGCAAGTCCCCACAAAGTGTTGTTGAGAACAATAAGTGCCTCTTTTTAGTCACTAAGTTTGGGGTGGTTTATTACCCAGTGATGGATAAGTAAAACTGTGTGTGTGTGTGTGTGTGTGTGTGTGTGTTTAATTCATCTCTTTATGGAGCCTGAGATAAAGGCAAAGACCATTAGCTAAAAGTGATACGTATAATTTTGGTTGAAGTAGTTTCCAAAACATCTCTACAGTATTCAGTAAAACCATCTGTTAAGGCCATGGGATAAATAAAGAAAAGAGGAGAGTGCCCCAGAGATGAGAACGGAGCCCAGCCCTGGGTGGAGAATGTGTTCAACGAGTCTCATGATCCAAGCTTCTGGTTATTCTTTCATATGTCACACTTATGCCCAATTGAGTTGATAAAACTTCAAGCAAATGAATAAAACTGAAGTAAGTGAAGACTGAAGTACCATCTGGTCACTCGTCTGTAAGACCTGCAGACCTGCTGGGATGTAGCTCGACATCCATGGGACTACAACTATCATCAGCTCTGTGGGAGCTAGGAACCAGCAGGGGAGAGTTTGCTCCCCCTCCTCCAGTCCTTATCTCACGTAGATCCTCCAGATTTTGTCTAAATGGACTTGAGACAAAACATTCTGCATTTGAGAAAACCTAGACACATTTCAGGATTTTAAAATTCAAGCCCAATGAAAGTGCCACGCCCGCTTTCACCATTTCAGCTTATATCCTCTTCATCTTTGAGACGAAACCGCTACCCTCGTGGCCTAAATCATTACCCTGTCTGTAGTTCCTCTTTACTTCCATGAATACTCCATTCTGCTGTCAGGAATACTCCTAAAACACAAACCTGTCACTTTACTGCCCAGTTAGAAAATCTGCCTTTGAATTTCTCAACACATATAATGGAGTAGTTGTTAAGAGCGACAGGGGTGGACGTCAGGCTAAAGAGTTTAGGTTTTATTCAATAGGGAATAGAGACTATGCAATGATTTTTGAGGAGGGAGTGAAATAATCAAAGAAGTATTTTGAAAATGTCTTTCAGTGTCAGATTCATTAATTTCTTCTGATTTTAAACTGGTCTACAGTCTGCTAGTTTTAGTTTACAGCAACTAAAATATTTTGTGTATGTCTCTTTTTAATTATTTTTCATTTTATTCTGCGTATTGTCTCATGCTTCAGTTTACACTCATAGTCACGTTTCCTTAACTCAGCCCTTCCTATTCTCATCTCTCTTTGAGTCTACAACTTTAGGTTTGCATTTACATATAGATAGATAAAATAGCTATCTGCTTCTCTTCCTTCAATTTTTTTTTTATCATCTAAAGAAAGTGGAACCGGTCCCAACAGATCAGATAACTATTTCCCCTTCCTTTGAACATCTCCCCAAACAGATGTTAGCACTCTTCAGCATACGCTGACATGAAGTAGGGAACATGTCTTATAACTGGCCCTCTGTAAGTGGTCTCCCTGTCATGAGGACTCAACTCTTTGTGACTAGCTGATCACATTTCAGTTTACACTATCTGGCAGTCCCATCACTTTCCACAAAAACAATTGCAAAGACTGTTCCCAGAAGCCAGCGATCACTGCTATGTTTGTCACTGGCAGATGAGGCTGGTAAATTAAAATTGTTCTGCAGCCATCCTCTGAAGTCTTCTAAATTTGTGGCAGATTCACTGAGTAAGAAGGTAAATGTTAGGGGACAGTTCTTGACTCCGCGTAGCACTGTTGTTCTTGCATTGACCAGGACATCAGCTCAGAAGGAACCAGATGTTTCAATTCCTCATTTTAGACATACCCTCAGTTTAAATCTCTCTCTACCTTGCAAACTGGACCATTTTCCGTGAGTTACGAAGCCTTAATGTGTTTCACTATCCTCGTCTGTAAAAGTATTATTTACTGGTATTTACTGAGAATTAGAGATTATCGGTCTGTGTGTGTACATGACTTGATCTAGTACATGATAAAAGAGCTATTGTTTTTAGGTGATTCTGTGATTCATCTGCCTGCTGCAGGATGGTCTGGAAGTACTGGGAGCTCTGTCTCTGCTCCCCGTTGAGGAGCAGTCTCTCATTTGTAGTGTCAGCAGCCTACTCTCTGAGGTAAATCTGAAAAATTGCCCCTAAACATTTGGAATACTTTACGTAGCTACCTATAAGCAAGCTCATGTCAAACAATCACATCTTGTGACACTGCATGGAGCAAGAGGCAGTCCCCAAAGATACGGGACAATGGTGTTTTCAGATAAACCATTTCTCAAGAATTTTGCTGCAGCCATCTGAAAATGTTGTTCTACCATGTATGAAAAATCAGATCATAAATACTGAAAATCTGAGGAGGGAGGAAGGTAGAGCTCAGTGGTAGAGCGCGTGCTTAGCATGCACAAGGTCCTGGGTTCAATCCCCAGTACCTTCATTAAAAAAAAATTATAAAAATAAATAAATAAATAAAACCTTATTACCTCCCCTGACCCATGGAGTGATGTATGTCAATTATATCTGAATAAAACTGAAAGGAAAAAATAAATTTAAATGACTTCAAAAAATTGAAAATCTGAAAGCCTTATAACTTTTTAATGAAAACATTGGGATTTGTCTCAGCAGTCTTTCATCTTCTAGAAAAGTCTGCTGCCTGGCAAAATGCCATGTTTATGTCGCTCCTTTATATCGCTCCTTACCTTGAACTGTGACTGTGCAAGAGAAAAATCCTGCAGAGCATATCAGTAAACAAAGAATGCCGTAGTTATCAAGTCATCAGCCAACTCAGGATGCAGGCGAGCAAGGAGGCCGGCCTCTGCAGCCACCTGAGGGGACTCGGAATAGGAAAGGACAGGAGACTGGCCCTGATAGCTGGGTGCTTGTCAAAGGAATGATTTCAAAGAGCCCAGACGTTTGCTTCCTCCCATACATGGAAAAACACAATTCTTTAACTTGAGACGCCTGGTTTTCTTTAGCTAACAAGTAATCTTTTAAGTTTCAACTACCTGGTCTTTGTTGTAAAGCTCCTATATATCCTGGCTCCTACCCCACCTCCTTGGAGCAGTCCCTCAGAGCGATCTGAGAGGCTGTCATCCCAACTTCAAGGGTTCGAGTCCTCAGAAATGTCGGCCAAATAAAACATAACTCTCAACTTTTAAGCTGCGCATTTATTTCAGTCTATACTGCCTACGGTAGCAACAGTGTTTAGTTGCATTTCAACATAAGGAATCATCTGGGAACTTACCAGGTACAGGATGGGTGGTGGTTGCTGTGCCAACTGTTTCTCGTGCACAAGAAATGTATGCTTGGCTAGGCCATTTGTCCACTTTTAAAAATCCTTCTGGATTCAGCATGAGTACAATGCCCCTTATATAGAACAAAACAGCTTGGGAGATTTTATTTTCCCTTGACAACACCCAGAAGCACTGATTCGGGTGAGAAACAAATTAAATAATCTGGTATGATTCTGTCGACTGAAATAAATGAGCAGCCTGAAAGTTGAGAGTTATGTTTTATTTGGTGGACATTTCTGAGGACTCAAACCCCTTCGAGCCGGGATGAGAGCCCCCCAGATGGCTCTGGGGGGCTGCTCCGAAGAGGTCGGGAGGAGCCAGGATATATAGGAGCTTTACAGCAAAGACCAGGTAGTCAGAACGTTAAAGATTACTGTTGAAGAAAACCAGACATCTCAGGTTAAAGAATGTAATGCTTTTCTATGTACGGGAAGGAACAAAGGTTTGGGCTTCTTGAAATCATTCCTTTGACAAACATCTAGCTATCTAGGGCCAGAAGCTGAAATGACTTGATGGCTTCAGCATTCTTTGTTTACTGAAATGGCTTCCAGTATTTTTCATTAACAATTCACATTTGTGATGTCAATTGTTGGGGAGAAATAGAATCTTGTGGACCTATTTTTAATGACTGAAAATAGTGCTGCAATAAAACTTCTAACTGAAAAAGTAGCCCTGTTTCCCCAATGTTATCTTAACAAAGAACTACATATAAGAAACATTTGTTGCATTGTCTTTTAATATGTATACTAAATTCTTTACACTGGAAACACATCAAGCTGTTTGGAATAATCTGTGATGCATTATTAATCCTTGTATATGTAAGGAAGCAAATTCAGTGAATACTCATTGATTTAAATAGAAATGATTGATTTTAAAATATTTATGCAGCATAATAAAATCTGAGACAATAAATGCATATCTTTTCCTTTTGGTATCCCCATTAGTTTCTGTTCTGTTCTTTTGGTTATGAAAATCAAAAAATCATCGCAATAATTGCATATAGCTCTATCTCCTCTGTAGCTCTGTAACACTGATGAATGGAAGAGAATTTCAACAATTCTTTTTGTTTATTTAGCTCTCATTATGTTTTCATTTACGAAAGACAGCGGTCCCACAATAGCTAGCAATGCCATTCTTTTCTCTATCATCCTTTGACCATAAAATAAAAGAATAGAGTATTTTAGTAAATCCATGAAATGAAGGGGATTGATTTGCACAGAAGTTGTTTTAACCTGAGACATTTTTCTGAAATAGAAATTTAACGTTGGGTTATTTCTCCAGTTTACTACTTTTTCTTCTAAATGCTTTATATTTTGCTTAATAGTAACCAATCAGCAATGTAATTTAGCAAATACAATGTCATTGGCATTGTTATCTTGTGTTGAATTAAATTTCAAGGCTCAGGATGAAGCCACTCCCGCGGTGGTGGGGGCATGTCAGCAAACTGAAACTTACATGACCTTTATGGACAAAAACATGCTGCCTGCCTCATCGGTAAACAAAGGACGCTGTGGCCATCTAGCCCACAACCACTGCAGCTACCCACAACGGTGCACCCTGAGGGGATTCAGGATGGAGAAAAACAAGACACTGGCCCTAGATGGTTAAGGTGCATTTCAAAGTAATGATTTTAGTGAGCTCATATTCTTGAATCTTCCCATACACAGAAAAGCACTAAATTCATTCACTTGAAATGTCTGGTTTTCTTGAGTTAACAGCAATCTTTTGATTACCTGTTTTTTGTTGCAAAAACTCCTATATATACTGACTCCTCCCTTACTTCCTCCGAGCTCCCTGAAAGGCTGCCTCCTGGGCTTAAGTTCTCAACAAGTCCGCTGAATAGAACGTAATTCTCCACTTTTAGGTCGTGCATTTTCTTTCAGTTGACAGTTTTGTGTCCCTGTAAATGCTCTACTTAACCAGAAACCTAAAATATCCAGTCAGCCAATCTCCAAACACCAAGCCAACTCTGGGCACTATATTTATTCCCTTGTGCTTTAGTCATTTTTGGTTTTTCTCTTTCTTATTACTTATTCTTTATGCTATAAAATCTTCCTGCCTTCTGCCCCATTTTGAAGTTCTCTGAACATGTGGAAATGGAGACTGCCTGCTTCATGAAGTATTAAAGTTTGTAAATTGTCTTCTTTAATCATTTTAAACACCTGTATATAAGAAAATATCAATTTGCTATGGCAATATTGTATGAATTCTTGGTTCGAGCGTCTTTTTGGAATCTGTTCAGGTTTCAAGTAGACACTTTAGGATTACCCAAACTTGAAAACCATTTTCATTTCATGTTTTAAAGTGGGAAGTCCAGATATTCTATTAGGTCATTTGAAAACAATTGCTGAATTTAAAACTTCTATTTTGGCATTTTTGGAGCTTTGCAAATAATGATGCTCAATTAACATATGAAGCCCCAATTTCATCTATTGAAAGTAAGTCTTTTCTTATTTTGCTTCTCTGTATCGTCAAGGGCCTTCCCTTCGTTAAAAAATCTATCATTGTTCTGGTTAAAAATGGCAGACTGAATACAAATGTACATTTTTGCTTCCTTCTGAAATCCATCTCAAATGACATTGCAAAGGGATAGATCTAAGGTAAAAACACAGAAGCACAGAAGATCACAGAAGATACAAAAGAGCACACTAGAGATGTCAGCAAAATATTGAAAGCTGAGAAGCAGACAAGTGGTGACATATTTAGACAAGCAGAGACAGATGAAAGCTATGTGTCTACAGTGGGGGAAGCAAGGATCAAGACAAATAATGCTGCAAAACACCAGTGTCTCACGACTGGGAGGTGCCAGTCATTTCCGAAGGCTGGACAGTCCACAGGGCTAAATAACAGAAACAGAATGAGTTAGGCTTCCAGATTCTCTCATCAGCTCTGGCAGGAGACAGTTTACTGCCTGGCGAGGACACCAGCAGAGCTGAGGGTAAGGGGACTGGACTGAATAGAGCGAGAGTCTATATATTAAAAGGTGGAGAATCTCAGTCCCTGCCTCCAGCTCATTTCCAAGAATTTTGGCAGCGAGGGTTACCTGCAAGAAGCAAGAGATGGAGGGTTCCTCCTGACGATATTGACTAGCCCAGGAAGAAAGAGCTGGAGAGGTTCTTGCCCAGTCATTCCGTGATGAGGCCAACCACTTGATAAGCTTCAGCTTCTAGTCAGGTTTTTAAAATTTTTTTTGGTTGTTGTTATTTTAATCTAAATAAGGCTAAACAGGCAAGGATTATCATATATTTCAGGAAAGATTCTGAGATTAAAAAAATAAGAACTTAAAGGGAACACAGCAATGCAGGGAGCAGAAGAAGACTCAGAAAACAAAACAAAAAACCCACCATTATAATTAGTATTCTCAGAGAACTAAGAGAAAATATTTTAGCCATGAAATAAAAAGGAGTAAGCTTTTGAAAATAAACATTCAAAAACTTAAAAGAAGACACTGACATTTGGAAATTAAAAAAAATGACAGCAGAAATTTAAAATTTAATAACTGAGTTGGAAGAAAAAGTTGAGAAAATCTCTCATAAAGTAGAACAAAAAGAAAAGGAGAAAAAGAGAGGAAACATAATAAAGTTAGAAGGTAAATCCAGAAAATCGTACACTTAGATACTAAGAGTTTTAGGAAGGAGAACATAGAAGACAGAGAAGAGCAAATTACCAGAGAAAAAATTAAGTGTCCCAGAAATGAAAGGCATGAATTTTGAAATAATTTACTCAGAGCAAGAGAGCAGCTGAAGACAAGTGTTTATCTCACACCTGTTGGGAAATTCTTGACAGCCTCTCACACTTACACATGTCCTGTGAGAACTGCCTTTGCTCCAGATTACCTTCTCAAAGATACTTGTATAGCAAAGAGTCTTGGAAAATAGAAAAGCATCTCCTGGGGCAAATAGTAGTTTTGTTTACAGGTTTTAGAAAAGATTTAAAGACAGCATCTCCTTCTGGAGTGTAGGCTTAGGCATGCTTACTGCCCATGAATAAAGGCTCAGGATCCCTCAGCTCAGGGTTCCTTTCCATAGATGCAGTCCCCTGTGTA